AATGTTCTCTTCCTCTTTAGGAGCAAACACTGGCTTAGACTCTAAAATCTTTTTACCCAATTTACCTTGAACTTCAACTATCTTAGACTCATAATATTCATAGTCGTCTGCTTTCTTTGGTTCATAAGGTATAACAAGTTTGTATGCTTTGCCTTCTTTAAGGTTTGAGAACCTTCTGTCAAAACTTTCTTTGACTGTTAACAAACCTTCTATGCCTAAGTCTTCAAATTTCGCACCATTTTTAGTCACAATAGCAAACTTAACTGGTTCGATGTTCCAAACTTTGCTGAATGAAGACTTTTCAAAATGGTAGAAGTAAACATTCAAATATGTGAATGGGTCTAGTTCTTCTTTAAGTCCTGACATGTACTTATTTACTGAGATGAATTTCGTCATCTTTTCTATCGGATAAAAAAATATTTTTTTTTAAAATTTACTCAGAAAAATTATTTCTTTCTATATTTGCCATTCCGAACTTCGAAAAGATGTTTTATACCAGCATAGAATTTTTCTCTAGAGCTTGGTCTTATATCGTTTTCATGACAATATTTTCTATATTCTTCATATAAAGCCTTTTTTTCATACATTTCATAAGGACAATCTAACCAGAATAGCGCATATCCATTTTCGTTATCTAGGTCTCTATATGTTTCTTCTGTTTGTGGAATTTCGCTTTCTTCTGTTTGTGGAATTTCGCTTTCTCTATTTAGTTCTATGTCTATATATTGTGGCTTAAAAAGATGTGGGCAAGAAGGGTCTGGCGCTATGTAAAAAGTTAATTTTTCTGTCATCTTTTCTATCGGATAAAAAAATATTTTTTTTTAAAATTTACTCAGAAAAATTTTTCTTTGTATATACACCATTCTGAACATCTAAAAGACTTTTGACATTTGCCAAGAATGTTCGTTTAGAAGCTGTCATATAACCATATTCTTGACAATATTGTTTATACGAATCGTACAATGACCTTTCATCTAAACACTCAAAGTCAGTTTCATCTATGAACAGTTCATATACACTCTTGTTTGCTTCTAACAATGTTTGTCTCTCTTCGGTATGTGGAATTTGTCTTGGATTGAACTTAGAAATATCTAATGTCATGAAATATGAGAACAAGTGGTTGTAAAAGTCAGATGTCAAAGTTTCTGCTAAGTCGTCAAAATATTCTGTATCTTGCATATGAGAATCTGACGTTCTGACAACTACATATCTTCTGTCAGAACTTTCTAACTTCATCGGAACAGCATTGTTTGAAACCATAATGAAGTTTGCAACATTCTCACAAACTCTTTGGTCTTTATACTTTCTTTCAACAACTCCAACTTTGTCTGTTATAAGACTCTTCAAAGCATCTGAGTTCAAAACTTTGTTGTATCTATACTTTGAAGTTCATTGCAAACTATAAGTTTCATATTCTCTATTGAGGAGTTAAACTTGCCACAGATGTTTTCTAAGTTTGTCATATTCGGATTCGAATAACCTTCTAACATTTGCATAAGATATCTGTAAAGAAAGTATTCTTACCAGTTCCTTGTTTTCCAATTATAATTGAGAGCAGTTTCATTTTAGCACTTGGTTGTGTAAGATATTTGCAAACCAACATAAGATATACTCATAAACCTTTTCCGTTTCCATTGCATATAATTTCTTTGACATGGTCTAACCAAGCTTCTATAATATTTTCTTTCCATTCTACTTGTTCGTATTTATATCCAGTGAAGATAGAATAGAAGTTTGGAGAAGGTGTATAGAACTTTATACCACGAACTGAAAAATCTTCTAACTTTGACAATAAGATATCCCAAGCATCTAACATCTTCATTCCAACTTGTACAACTTTTATTTTCTTAAGTTTCTGTCTACATTCTTGTTCTGAAACTATTGTTGCTCTTGGTTTGTTAAAGACAACATCCCATTCTTCATGACATAACATTCTGGGGCAGAGTCAACATAAATGACTAAACGTTTCAAATTCTCGACTGCTTTGTTATAGTCTCTAAATGGACACATATTTCTGAATGCTTGGAAGTCATAAAAATCTGAAACATCTATTCTGTACATTTTTATAAAAATAAAAAAAATATTTTTTTTTATTCTTGACTTTGTTGTTGCATTTGTTGCATTTGTTGTTCTTGAGCTATTTGTTGTTGAAGTTGTTTCTTGTAATACAATACTTTCACCAGTTGCATCTTCCAATTCGAAACTTTCTGCCGTCATTGACAAATACATAGGACATAAAAGTTTTACAGGAACAAAGTTTGCGTCAACTAATGTCAACGTTATACTTGCCAAAGTGTTTGAGTTCACTAAGGTTGAAAATTCTGCATTCGAATGAACAATAGGCAAACCAGCAGAGAAAGTATTGTTTATACGCATAAGTATCTTTTGGTCATAATAGTTTCTGTCAACATTCGAATAACACTTTGAACCTAAGTTTGAAACAATATATAAGATTGGTGTGCTTAATGTCAATGGAATAGACATTCCTTGTATGACACCTTTTTCCTGTTATAGGAAACTTTGGTAGTAAAAACCAGAAATAAGTTTTGTATTATAGCTCATATCGTTTATAGTAAACTCAGTCGGACATCCAAACATAATGAAAACCTGCTCTAGTTGCAGCACATGTTACACCCGTACTTAAAGTATTAAATAAGTCAACAAAACCTGTTGGTGGTATATCTGAGTAAGTATCTTCAAAGGAGTATTTTTTACCATTCACAACAATAAAGTCTTCTGGTGTCAAAAGAGCAAAACAGGTTTAGTCGTCATTGTGTTTAAGGTTAGTTTACAATATCGTCCTTGAGACTTTGTAAGTTTGTTGTTATAGAATTATATGACTCAGGGTTTTTAGTCGTAATAGTATAAACCATTATATCTTCTGCCATTTATATATATTTAAAAGTTTTTCTGAAAGTGGAGAAGAACTTCATCTAAACTTTCACATGGCGTTTCTTGAAGTTCTCTGTCTAAGAAGTTCAAATATTTTGTAAAGACATAGAACTTTCCTTTGTCTACACGAACAAACAAAACAGGGTCTTTCATATCGTTCAAAAGTGTGTAAAGTCCTTTACATGAAATAAAGTCTATATTATTTTTTTTCAAACATCTTTCAAGAAGTTTTGACATTTTTACTTAGCAAATAAATTTTAATGAAATGTTGTGGTCGTCAAATATTTTTATGACGTCTGGGAAACTATACTTTAAGTTCAACGTTTCACCTCCTTTCATAACGTATATCTTGTCAATGACATTATATGAAAACACCACAGCAACTAATGTCGGGTTCTATTTCTTTGATGTTTATATCGTCTGCCTCTGTCAAAAGTTTCAATAGTTCTTTCAAAACTTCATGAGGTGCAATGACATATGAGTTCACTTTTACAGGGTTGTGTTCGACCAAGTTTAACATTATACTTAAAGCTTGACAAATCTTCTCCTGAGTTTGAAGTTTGTCTTTCAGTTGTTGGTAGTCGTTTCGAATATCTGCAACAGAACTTAAGTCTCTGCTAACTTCAGGATATGTTGGTTGTTCTTTACAGGAACAATTGTTATACCATCTTCGTCCTCGTATGGTTTCCCCACTTCAACATCTCTGTCTTTGACATTGACAATAACACTTTGACTGTTTGTTTGAGTTGGTGAATTTAACTTCACATCTGCCACCGCCATTAAACCTTTTGAAACACTTACGCTTCTATTTTTCGGAAATGACATTTTACTTAGAATAAAAAGATGGACGTATTCGAGTATCTCTTCGAATTGAAGCAGAAACAAAGTTTACACACACAAACAATACAAATACATTGACAGAATAGTTCTTTATACAAACAATGGTAAATGTTATAGAATAGCAGTCTTTGCTGAACCAAAATATTTTCATAAAGCAAAGAAAGTTGGTATAACTGAAATGGTGAAAGTTCTTGAAGCAGACAAAAAATAACTTCAAAACTTACAGATATTTCTAAAGGAAAGTTTATAATACAAATTATGTCAAAAACTGGCGTACTGTCAATATTTGACGGAGAGAAGTCAGTTCAAGAACAACTTACTGACCTGCTGCCAAAATCTGCTCGATGGAAGCTGTCGTTATG